ACGACTCCTATGAATATAGTGAATGCCTGCCAATGCAACCCTTCTTACGCGAATGTCACAGCGGCTGCATATCGTCCTCCGTCGTAGGCGCGAGCACAGCGTAAACAACTACTAGTATTTCTTCCTTGCCGTGCAGCATAGCGGCACAATTATAGAAGATACGAACTGCCCTTCCAGCAATTCTTGTTTCTGTTTTCCTTCACTTGCAACGCTAGTACCTGTAGTTGTGTCGATGTCCGACAATAAACACTTTGCAAATCGGTATCGACTTACATAATAGTCTGTAATTTTTACTTTCACGCCTAATGCTTACGCAGTATAGGGAACCTATTGTAATGATGCAGGGAAAAAATGGCGATTTTTCAACATCAAAACTCATTGCCGATTCCTAGAAATGCAAAAGTGGATTATCCTTGTTCCTTTATATCAGTGGTAAATTTCTTCAAAAAAGTTCGGTAGTCAGAATCCACGTATTCTTGACACCGAAAAATCGATTGCCGGCAGAACATCTGTCGTCTGCCCGTCCGTACATCTGTGAAAAAAGCTATCGGCTAACCCAATGCAGGATTTTCATCAAAATTGATATTCCCAAAATCAATCTGACTGATGCCATGATCCATTGAATTTCAAATGGATAGTTTGGTTTTTGGGAGTACTTTATGTGAACCCTCAACATTTATGCTTTTTTTCTCAATTTTTCTCTGATAGATTACAATTCGTATAAGTTGCGAAATTGTTTTCGGCATCGACCTACAATCATAACAATGAAGATTTAACTTTTTTCTTAATGAAATGGGTTTATGAAAAAAAGATCTTCAAATAAGGTCATGTTAAATTTTTCAAAAATATGAGTAGTTATGAGGTAATTATGCATGAAATAGACTACTTTTAATAATAATAATAATAATAATAATAATAATAATAATAATAATGTGTATTGTATAACATAAACAATGTTGTACATTGAACAATATACAATGGGTGAGTTAAAAGAAGCTTCCCAGATGTTAAAACCTTTGCAAACCTGAAATATCTTAAATAATATTTATTTTCTTAATATAAGGAATTAAAAAATGAAATAAAATCTTAGTGAATAAAAAAAATAAAAAAACCTAAAACTTAACTTAAAATATAAAATACCATCAAACAAGAATAATACAAGAAGAGACCAAAAAATAAAATAAAAACAATTATTTTCTCTAATATGGCTCTAAATTTTTCCTTTAATTTTTTTCCACGTATGTAGCAAAAAATTGTAAAAACATTGGTTCTGGTTCCTTTTTCTATGAACTCTCAGTATTTTGAATACTGTAAAAAATGTGGTTGGACTTGAAGATGTGCGATTTTGAAAAAAAAAACATTCTTTAAGTTTTGTGGTGCTTTACATAAAGCCCGTGAGCCATTGTCTAAATTTTCTCAAAAATAGCTCCATATTTTGTCTTTTAATTTCTTCAAAGATTAGAGTGCAATAAAAAGATGTTATTGGTCCGATTTTCACTTTTAACTCTGAGTTTCCTAAAATTGCAAGTTTTAATTATTTTCGGCGTCTTCCTGCAACTACAAAACTGAAGATGGGGATTCTTTCTTCAAATCATATTTTTTCTCTATATTTCATTCATAGTTTATTCTGAGAAACCCTTATTAGGGGCACAGAAAAAATAGTAATCATGTGATTGATTGGCTCACAACATATCATGGGAATGACAAAATGCATAGAAATTTGCAACCCATCTCCTAACACTGCACATAGCTTGCAAATAACATGTATACCCAGCTTTTATCTGGATCACCTAGAGGGCATCCATACAACTTGTCGTGGGGAAATCATGCGCCTCTGGGATTATGGTGTAAAGAACCACAAACAACAGAAGTTATTAGGATTATTGTGACACATGCTAATAGTGCTTAATGACATATCACATAACCTACAACAAAACGAAGTTATTGACCGATTCAGAATTATCGCAATTCCTTTTGAGCATTGGAATACTTTTCACTTCGTGTAAAGTAGTAGAGTTCATGCTTCAAAGAAACTAAAACTTGCGAAACGGAAAATATCTATGAGAAGCTGTTATCCGAGATACGATAAATCGTAGTGCCCACTCACCTTTTGCGCTGAAAGAAATGCACTCTTCGCGGGAACACCGATAAACCACACTCGTAGAACTGCAGGAACAAAGTTTTAGCAGTGCACATTCTACGTCTTTCTTGATAGACGCACTCTCTGCAGCTCAAGTTCTGGTCGGTTCGCAACAAGGAACTATTTCTGCGAAGGGCACGAATATAGTTCGTAATACGCATCGCCCAAGGGAAGTCCGCCCTGTGTTCCCGGAAGCCATGTCCCGCGAGAACAATAAAATTGCGATTACTGAGAAACTGTATGTAATAGGCGAAAACTGACACAATATTTGAAATCAGCACACTTAACTCTATTACAAAAACTTATTAGCTTTTATAAGACGATAATATTTATCTGTTTTTCTGTATTATCTCTGTGACCTGTATTATCTCTGTTTTTCTCCCAGAAACTTTCCATATCTATTTCTTAAACTAATCACTTAAATAGAGCTTCCCTAACATTCATTTATTTACTTCTGTTTAATACGTTTTTACATCTGTTTTAGAAATAGTTGTAAAACTGAGAGTTGTGTTTAAGACAGTTTAATAAGGGACAACAATCATTCATTGTACCAATTTCACACTGCTATTCAATGTATTTCTCTATTGAGTTCATTTTTTTCTACTACAACAGAGTTGAAAGGGTTCATCCATCGTAGCAAGATTTAAAAAATGAATGCAACTGAACTATTTCTTAATGATAACATTGAATAATACAAATTTGTCTTCCACAAAAAATTATTAGTTCACTTTTTTGGCTTGTGTGATTTCATAAGTCACACCCTACCAATAAAATTAAGTGATGAGTGAGTGAGGCTTCAAGAGGTCAGGAAAAAGAAAGTACTGGCACAATATTTGAACAAATATGTCTTTATTTAAACAGTAATTTGTTTGTTAGTAACTTGTCAAAGTTTTAACTTTATTCCCTTTCACTTGGCTTGTATCTTTTGCAATCCATTTATACTTCAAAGAAAATTTTCTTTGCTGTGTATTATTTTTTCATGATTGTGAATACTTCAATTATGAATTTTATTTAATAAGGGACAACAATCAAAACAACTTTGGTTTTAAATTACAGTGCTCATTTATAACATAAATTCTGTTTTTGTTGCCATGTACAGACATAAAAGCTGTTGGAGGTATAGTAACATTTAGAAATATAAAACAAGGTTATTTCAAAACAGTTGTGTTAATTGCACTGTAAAGAATCAAGATAGTATAAATGACAGCGTTTATAAATAATTCTCTATAGAAGTATGCAAAGCAGAGTTGATACAAGAATATTTAATACAGAAAAGGGAAGAAATAACTAAAGTAATTAACACAATTTAAGTATTATAAACCATGATGCATGATCTTTTACCAAAAGAGAATAGGAAGGATAGAAAAGGACAAGTCAATTAAGAGGGCATAATTTGCACAATTACTTATGTTCAATGACAGGACTTCGAAAGATTTATTTTATCATATTTAGTCAAGCAGAAAGATTTGTATAAGTTATTCTCCTGCACAGTGCAGATGTTTCTTAAGAGAACATCTTCCTATAACATTGTGCATAAGTTTTTGTGGCTACTTAGTTCACATAAGACAACTGTACATTTCATAATCCCATGCTTTTAGTCTTTGGTTTATGAGTCACAAGAATATAAATAATGAAAAAGCTTCACTTGAACACTAAGTTACATGCTAATTTCAGAGTTAAAATGATTACTTTACTGCACAGGGAAAGGTGTTTCTTTGGAATGTTATGTCATAAAATAGCACCAAATATTAGCTGCAAGATTGCCAGCCAACAGCTGAAATATACATTCAGTGAAGTTTAACATTACAGATTTTTTTTTGGTTATTTCATATTATATTGTCTCAATAGAAATTATAACATTCACACGATCCCACATAACACACTCAACATTCTGAACATACTAAAACAGTTTCTTCGGAGGTTAATAATATATTACTAAGAGCTCCTACATATCCCTGCATAAAGTACAAGAATATTTAACTGGCACTTATACACTGTATTAAAATTTTTTATTTTTTAATAAATGATCGCACTTTATTCACACATCTGTCCATGAAGTTCTTTTTTCTTCTGTTATCCCCTGTGTTAGACAATGGAAGAGATAACTGTGATCCTTGTTTCACATCACTACAATCGCCTATGGATCTTGATTCGTAATCAAGATCAGGATGACTTGTCTGGAGAGCATTAAACTTCTCTTCTTCTTGGAGTCCATCAGTCTTTTGCTCTGTTGGCTTTGCAGTCAGCTCTTGTGCACTAAGGTATTGTTCACACTCACTAACTAGTTGTTGTTCATCTCCTGCTTTGTCATTAGGTTCATTTGCTGTGGAATCTACCAAGATGTCCAAGCTACGTGAACGTCCAGGCCTCTGGGGACATGTAGGCAAGGCTCGAGCAGGCGAGACACTGGCTGTACCGGAGCTGCGCCGAGGTTGTGTGGCTGGGCTAGGTGGACGGTGCATTAAATTGTACAGCCGAGTTGGTGGACTAGTAGGAGGACGACGTACTGTTCCCAGAAGCCAGGGATGGGACGGACTGGATGGTTTGAATAACCTGAAACCCAAGACAGAATATGAGAACATTGTTTCTCAGGCAACAGCACAATGTTTTAACACTCAGCTCATTATTCAGTAAGTTTCACGCTCTGAAAAACTTCTTAAAGGCTTAATTACATCGATTGTGTCCATGATCTACTTATTACTAGGTAGAGAATAACCTTGACTTTACAGTTCAGTAACACTTATGATCTTTCAAACCACTGGATAAGCAATGATATTTTGCAATGACACCTGCTAATTTATTTTTCAAACACTGAGTGAGGATACTTTTAAAATGCAGTTTAGTTGTTATCTCATAACAAATTTGAGTTAATTGCAAACAGTTTTTACAAGCCCCAATCTTTGAAAACAATTAGCTCCTCCTAAAATACCCACCTGTTGTGTCTGGCCGAGGCAGAGGGGCCATCTAGTCAGTCTCTCCCCCCTCCAGAGTTCCCATTGACATCCTTGTCACTGCCCTTCCCACTCTCGTTGCTGTGCATTCGCTGGTAGCTGGGCGGCTGGCGCCCTAAGGTGTTTCCTGAAGGTGTTCCGGGAGTGGCATCTCCTTTGTTAAAACCCATTCTTCCCAAAGCTCCATCAGCACGAGTGCTCAGTTCTCCTCTCATGAACCTTTCCAGTTTGTCTACACAGGCATCCTGGTAGTCATGAATCCATCTGAAACAAAATATTTAAAGCATTATAAATCTTCAACTGCCAAAGAAATTGCACCACAAGCAGGAAGTACAAAAATTAAATAAATATAACATATTTGTCTGGTTCTATAACATTTAAAACAACAATGAATTAAGTAATAACCAGTGCAATCATTTTTTCTTTTACTGTAAAATTTGAGAGACAAATTGGATAAAATTTTTAAATTTTTGGAAAACTAACTCAATGTAAAACATAATGTATAATGTATAATGTTTGTTCAAAATTTGACTAGTAATACTTAAAATAAAAAATCGAAAGCATAAAAAAATCATACCTGACACCATTGAAATGGCAGACAGCTCTCATATCTTCTGGCAGTTCCTCGGGTTCAGGCCATTGGAAATTGTCTATGATAGGAATTATATTACACTGTGATTGGAGAGCTGCAACAATTTCCTAAAACAAACAAAATACGATAAGTCATGTACAATTCATGGAAATTAAATTCTTATTTTTGTTTAAATTGTTTGACTTACTATAATTTAATGAAACTTACCCTGTGAACCCAGTCTTTGCATTCCGAATCTGCAATACAACGTTCCAGAGCTTTGGGGGTGAGGACCAATAGAAAATGTTTGGCTTGTCGAATACTCTGCAGGAGGTTGTTATCAAATTTTCCAGCTTCCAACCTTTCCACATCAATGAAGACTTTGAACCCTCGTAGTTGGAGATGGACTTTCAGTAAACTGTAAACACATTTGATCATTTTGTTATTTTTTGGGAAAAAGGTACTAAGTAAATGTCTTTCTTCAAAAGAAGTGATTTTCTAATTGTTTTAAATAACAGTTAAAAATTTGATCAAAATTGTAAAACATTATAAATCAAGTACCTAATGAGTACTTGTTATGCCATACGATAAACCACGTAACGAATATTAATAAAAGGTTGTGTTAAACTTATTAACTACACACCTGGCCAATTGTGATCCATTTGATCGTCTATAACTAACAAATACATCCAGAGACTTGTCAAGGTTAGTATCTGATGCACTAGTCAAGCCACTTTCCATTTTATCTGGAAAAGAAAATTTAATTTTTAGCAATAACATATAATAAAATGTACTATTTAATAAAATATGATTTTAACTCATAATAAAGCAACGTTTAAACAACTTGATAACAAATTAAAATTGAAGATATTGAAAACAAAACCAGAGATTCTTACCTCTAATGGCTTTTGTTATCCTTTGACGGTGAATACTATTTGTAATGCCACATTCATTAGCCAGCTGGTCATCAGAAAGGTGAATAATTGAATCATTGTCAACACCAGCATTCAACATAGAGTATGTGTAAATAGAGAACTCTGTTCCAATATTTTGCAGGAATGTATTTAAATTTCCAGTATCTCTACTACTATAATCAGCCATTTTCTTTAAGTTTTGAAGTTCTCGACTGAATCTATAAACAACAATATTGAGGTATTAAAGCATTATAATGTAATGTAATGTAATGTATGCAAATTATAAACTATGAAAAAATATATTTTGTTATACACACCTCCTACGGCGAATACCATTTGTAATTCCTATGTCATCTCTAAGATTAGCTTCTGTTAACTGCAACAATAGATCACCATCTACTCTGCTCTCAACAAAATTTCCTGCATATTCTGCAAATCCAATCTGAAAAAATTAATAACCACAAATTAAAAATATTGTTTTACAATTGCAAAACAATTTCTCAATTAATGATCTTACTACATTGCAAACAGGTCTCAAATGTACAAAGAAAAATAAATTAAGGAGACCCGTAAAGGAAACTGAAGGCTATTTTCAAGAGCAAGATGATAAAAAAGTATCAAATTTCTTGTATTTTTAAATTTTTTTTATGTAGGTACAATTCATGACTGACGGAAATATAAAATAAATATTCTTTTAAATAAATTATACTGAAATATGCATTACACTGATAACTCACCTGCTTCACCCATTCCCGCACATCTTCTGTGGACCAGAGGGGCACCTGTTGACTCAGTTTATGAGGTACTTCCTCACCAATTAGTCTCAGAGCTTGAGCTGCATATTTTGAAGCAACTGCATTGGGGCAGCTAGCAACTTTCTTGAGAGGTTCAATAGCTTTGATTTCTCTAAATATTTCTGTGTTTCCTTGCTGTTTTTTTATTCCTGCTTCCATACAGAAATGGAAAGCTGCCAGATTACGAGCCTCTTCCCTCTTTGAACTCAAAACAGGCACCAATCTTTGAAGCCAGTTCTTGCTCTGACCATGAGCATGGGCTAAATTGGACTTGGCAAATTCTGATGGATTGTGAGTGGTAACAAATGGTTCTACCAGATCCAAAGTACCAGATTTAAGAACTGCTGCTTCTATTTCTTTGTTAGCTACCAATACAGCAATTGCCAGGCATGCATAGTACTTGATATTATCATCATTGTGGAACGCCAAAGGGAACAACCACACAGGCACTTTTCGCTTAATCATAGCTTCTTGATTTTCTGCTCCACCATACAGCGAGAGATTTGCTAATGCTCCAGCACAGTGTCTGAGTGTTTCAACATCGTTCTTCCTGCATTCAAACAACACAGCATCCAAACCACCTAATCTGATTACATCACTGCAGGTGCCTTCACTATGCTTAAATAAATGTTCCAAGATGCCAGTTCCAGTGCGTGAATGTTCAACAGAATTTGCATTTTTGGTACATGCACATGCTACATTCACGACTTTCTCCAGGCCATTTTCCACTACATGGGCACGGTTTTCAGTTGTGAGGCATTGTTCCAAAAGGCGAGCACTGCAAAACTGCAGTTCTCCATCACCAGCCATACAATTGGCCATGAGGAGATCAAGTCCACCGCATCGGCGCAGTGCATTACAGAGTGAATAACCAAGTTCATGTCCATGGGTAGGCACAGCCCATGCTTTCCTCATCATCTCGTTTATTCTGTTCAAGAGAAGAGGAGCTTTTGCACGACGACCTTCTCCTCCTTGCCGTAAGCTGGTAATAAATTTATCCAAATATGCAGAATACTTCGAAATTGCCTGTGCCACATCTTGAGTGGTTGAGCTGGCAGATAACTGCTCAAGATCTTCAAAGCTCTGATTCAGAAGTTCATCTTCAGATGCAGACTTCAAAGCCCCATTCATTAATTGACTCATCTGAAAAATAAAATCATAAAAATAGAAATTGTGTTTCCAAAAAAGAAAAAAAAGGAAAAAATCACATTCAATTCTTATTTCTTTCATTTGATGCAAATGAACTACAAATGTAAATATGTATTTCCACATTCATGCTTTTTTTTAAAAAACTCTACCTGTGCAGATGTTGCGATCATGGATGAAGATGATTTTGTGCACACGCCTTTAGTTGTGATAGTGATGTTGGACTGAGATGTGGAAGAAGAATGTTTTTCATGATTGAAGATGCCAGTTGAAGTGACTGTCTGTCGCTGCTGCTGAGCTGCCATAGCTTTCTGCAACATTAAACACGACGGTCTCACTTAGAACAAGTTAGAAACTTCATAAGAGGTTGTGTCAACATATTCACACAAGCATTTTAAAATTTACACCTCCACATGTGAAATACTTCAAATCATTTTGACTTCCTGCAGTGACTCAAAAATTATTATTGGAAATATTCACATTCAAACAAAATTTTCAGAATTCAAAACTTTCAAACCCCAATGTTTTCTTGCCACAAATTTACCTGTATACAATTTTTTTATCACAAAATATTGGTAGAAATACAACTGATGAGAAGAAAGGTTGCAAGAATGGTATCTTTCAATCTTTAGATTGTATCTTTAAAAGATGTAATGAATAAAATTCCAATCAAAACTTATGTTATTTATAAGAAGATTTATAAAAATTACTTACTTTTTCAAACATATCTGTCTGCACTATCATACTGGCAGCAGCCATGTTCTGACTTTCCTGTTGAGTAATCTCGCCAGTTTTCAGGGATCTTTGCTCCTGCAACATAAAATACCTGGTTTTACTTTCTCCCTCTTTTTCATAAAGTTGTAAGTTAAATCTGTAAGACAGTTTGTGCTGAAAGAGAATAATGTATTTAGTTACATCTTTCTATACATGTGGCGTGAACATTCAAAGAGAAATTTTATCCTGATAAACGATAAAAAAAATTAAATTAACACGTTACACAATAAATCGAACAAGAAGACTGCCCACCTACTTCCATAATGATCGAGAATGCGGTATCTCCGCAGATAAAAATCTTCAATATTTGCAGACTCTTATACCAAACTTTCGCACGCTTACGTAGTTATTAATAAAACCCCATAAAATATCCCACATAAGGAACACTTTCGATTAAATAAAATATAAAACCAGCCAATACACAACTACGCAAAGCGAACAAAAATGAAAGGAAAGATCTATTGTAAAACAAACTTATCCAGGGAGCAGCAGGTATGCAATATTTCCGCGTGCTTTGTAGGAGATCGACAGGAACTGTGCGATAACGTAACGCCGATTTTCTTGGAGGGGTGGTCGGAAAGGGGAGGGCGGAAAGGGGAGGGCGGAGGGATGGGGTGAAAAGAAATATCTGGCCAGAAGTTATTAATTAGATTGTAGCATGATAATCTTTTGACTTCTTTGGTTCTTGTAATTGGAGATTGTTACGCCTATATACAAGATAATTACAACACTGGCACAATAAAAAATATTTTGCCGTTTTACAAATAACTGTACTTGGGATACATATTATATAACACGATATTTATCTTGACACGGTTCCTCCTTACAAAGAGAACAAAGAATACGACGATTTTCGAAATGATCATATTGCAAAAAGATATACAGGTACCATTGTTTACGAAAGTCAACCAGAATCAACTGCATTGCCCTAGAATGCGATTGTTTACATTAGCCAAGATTTCATCCACACAATGCAAACTAAGCAACACATTTCCTAATAGAAACACAACAACACATCTTTGTCAACCAGACAACCATCGATCCACAAGAGGAGCGAGAATGGTGTTGCCGTAGCGGTGTCGATCCTGCCTACCCTTTCCGAACCACTCACCGATATTCAAAATCATCCTCCCCTCCACATCTACTGACAGCACTCGCCACGACCAGACGGTCTGCCATAGAGGTGGCGGTCCCGCCTGCCCTTTCCGAATCACCGCCATCCATAATCATCCTTCTATACCTAGTGACAGCTCTCGCCACGAACAGACGGTCTGCCGAAGCGGTGACAATCCTGCCTACCCTTTCCGAATCACTCACCGACATCCATAATCATCCTTCCACATCTACTGACAGCACTCACCCCAGGCGCCACGCACCGCATCGCATCGCATCGCATCGCATCGCACCGCATCGCACCGCATCGCATCGCCTCGCATGACATCGCATCGCATCGCATGACATCGCATCGCATGACATCGCATCGCATCGCATCGCATCGCATCGCATCGCACCGCACCGCACCGCACCGCATGGCATGGCATCGCATGGCATCGCATGGCAGCGTGG